CCCCCTCTTGGGCCTCCCGGGCGTCCCTCGTCGCCGCCGCTGGATTCGCCTCGAGATTCCGGTCAGAACGCCCCCCAGGAGGGGTCCGGGGAGTAGCGACCTCGGTGCCTTTCGGTGTCCCCCCGAAAGCAGAGGGCGGGGGCACGCCGGATTGCAACAAAAACCTTTTTTCGCAATCCTTCGTTTTTTTTGCAATCCTTCGTTTTTTTTTTTGTTGCAATCCTTCGGTTTTTTTGCAATCCTTCGCACGAAGTGCTTCAGGTGCGGTGCCGGCAGCCCCAGGCCTCCGCCGGGGAGCCTTCCCGGCGGGGGCAGAGGCAGGAGGGCCGCGGCACGCCCTGGTGCCGCGGCAGTGGCCTCTCCGCGTGGTGCCCTGGCCGCGGGCGTCGGCGATCATCCGGCACTCCTCGCCAGTCGGCCCTCGCTCGAAGGCGGGGCGCCCTGGGAGGGAGGGGGGGGGGTAGCAGGGGCGGGAAGGCCGCGGCACGCCCTGGTGTCGCGGCAGAGGCCTCTCCGCGTGGTGCCCTGGCCGCGGGCGTCGGCGATCGTCCGGCACTCCTCGCCAGTCGGCCCTCGCTCGAAGGCGGGGCGCCCTGGGACCTGGCATCGCTCGGACGTGTGCATTTTTCCTTCGGCGGCGACCATCGAGGAGCATCCCTGATCATTTGGCGAAAAAGCCACGCACGAAACCGACAAAAAACACAGGGAGTGGACGTCCGAGCGATGGCCAGTGGGAGGGGGGTGGGGGGTAGCAGGGGCGGTTGAGGCGTGCGGCTCGGCGGCCGGACGTTGGCGCTGCGGCCGTGCCGCTGCTGCTGCTGGGGGCCCGGGGTCTGCTGCGGTGCTGCGTGCTGTTGACGAGTTGGGGGTTCCGTACGTTGTCTGCAAGAGGGCTTTCCAGGCACGGGGCCGTAGGCGCGCGAACGGAGTGTTAGCAAACGAACGGCGATGTAGGACATGCTGCGTGCTGTTGACAAGTTGGGGGTTCCGTACGTTGTCTGCAAGAGGGCTTTCCATGCACGGGGCCGTACTGTAGACGCGCGAACGGAGTGTTAGCAAACGAACGGCGATGTAGGACATGCTGCGTGCTGTTGACAAGTTGGGGGTTCCGTACGTTGTCTGCAAGAGGGCTTCCCAGGCACGGGGCCGTAGGCGCGCGAACGGAGTGTTAGCAAACGAACGGCGATGTAGGACATCCAAGTGTAGGAAGGCAGCGCGGTTCGTGGCCAAACCGTTTTGTCTGCAAGAGTCAGCGAGCGAAGAACGGTATAAAAGAAACGTTTTCGCTGTCGGGGGCGCCTGCCCCTGGGCGGCTGGAAAGTTTGTACCCCTACGGTGCCACCGTAAGGGTATAAACTTTCCAGCCGCCCAGGGACAGGCGCCCCCGACAGCGAAAAAGCTTCTTTTATAGCATTCTTCGCCCGTTAAAAGGGGGCTTTCCAGGCACGGCACCGTAGACGCGCTAACGGAGTGTTCGCAGACGGCGACGTAGGACATCCAAGTGTAGGAGAGCGCGGTTCGTGGCCAAACCACTTGTAGGAACGCGTGTGTCGTGTTTTCCTACAACTCCCTGTGCCTTTTTCGTTCGGTACAATGTTAGAACATGTAGGAAACGGCCTTTCGTGATTTCCAACATCTTGTTCCTCGTGAGCTCGGTGTCACAAACAACCTATTCCCAACTGCACCGTTGACCAAGCACGCCGTTAGCGCGGCCTTGGCCGAACACCGCCCCACGCGACGTCAAGCGGGCCCCAGTGGAGAGCAGCCCAAGACAGTCCTCGCGGGGCGTCCAAGCCGGCCTAGGCTGCCCCCAAGTGGCCCTTGGCGGCCCACCAGAGCCCCGCGCAGCTGCACATCAGTCCCAAGACAGCTCTGCAAGAGCTTGGGCAAGAATCCGCAGAACAGTTCCCCAGCACAGGTCCACGCAGGGGCTCACGGTGTAGTGCCGTGCACCGCCCACCTGGTGCCTCGGGTGTTCGCCGAAGACAGCGCCAGGAGGGCCGCTTGGGAGCCCCTCGTCCCCTCCCCCGCCTCTCCCCCCTTGACCCTGGGGGACCCCTGCGACCCTTGACCCTGGGGGACCCCTGCGACCGCCGCCGCCGCCGCCGCCCTGGCCCCCGCCTCTGGCGCCCCCGCTCGCCGATCTCGCCGCCGCCGCCGAGCGCCGCCGCCGCTCTCCGTCGTCGCCGTGGTCACCGTCGTGGTCGTGGTAGTCACCGCCGTCGCCGCCACCGATCGCCGCCGTTGCCGCCGCCGCCGATCGCCGTCGCTGCAGTCCGTCGTCGCCGTCGTCTTGGTCGTTACCGCCGCCGGTCGCCGTCGCTGCAGCCCGTCGACTCTGCCGCCATGGTCGCCGTCACCGCCCCCTGAGATCCGACGTCACGAAAGAATTGCAGCATCGCTGAATTTCCAGACTAGGGCCCTGAACCACGTCTTCCTGCGGCATTTCCTGAGCCGGATCGATCCGTGAAGGGTCCCGGGGCCCGAAAATTGGCAACAT